GCAGACACACAGGCAGAGGGAGAAGCAGGCCCCATGCAGGAAGCCCGATGCGGGACTCAATCCCGGGTCTCCAGGATCACACCCCAGGCTGCAGGCGGCACTAAACCTCTGCGCCACCGGGGCTGCCCGGTAACCCATCTTTTAATGTAAGCAAACAACCAAGGATTATAAGACCTCCAAGAAAAGAATCTAACATGAGAGAGACCAAAACAACAGAAAAAGAAATTTAGAGCAAACAGATTACAGAGAAAGAAGAAACAAAGGTACCAATAGTAGCTTCGGAGATAAGATAAACCATTTCAACACTGAAAAAAAAAAAGATGCTATAGAAAGGAATACTCGGAAAATAACAGTAAAGTGAGAGTAATAAAAATCCTTACAATATTGAAAAACTCAGTAGAAGAATGGGAAGAGAAGATTGAGGAACTCTCCCAGGGAACAAGGTAATAACGATGGAAAGTAGGAGAGAAAAATAAGAAATTGGTATGAGCAGTCCATCAAATCCATCATCTGGATTATAGGAGTCCCCAAAAAGAAAGAACGGAGAGAATGGAAAGGAAGAAATCACCAATGGGATGATTCAAGATTATTTCCCAGAAGTGAGGGGCCCTGAGTTGCCCAGCACAACAAACAGCCCTCTCACCAAGATATATTACAGCCATCTGAGAACACTGGAAACAAGAAGAGATTCAGAGTTGGGGAATAAGTCACTTACAAAGGATAAGAAGTTAAAAGACTTCAGACTTCTCAAGACAGTGAAAGCTAGAAGGTAATGTCACAATGCCTTCATAATTCTGAAGAAATTCAATACCCAACCAATCAATCAAGTGTCAGGGTAGAATAATGACAATGTCAAACATGTAAAGTTTCAAAACAATTTACCTCTCCCTTTTTCATGAAACTTCTGGAAGACGGTCTCCAAAAAGAGGGAATAAATTAAACAACAAAAAAAGAAAGACACAGAACCTGGTAAATAAAAGATCCAACAAGGGAGAAATAAAAAACAATGCTAGGAAGATGAGGAGATGCCAAGTTGCCAGATGTTTGGAGCAGAAGAGGCTCCAGAAGAGATCTCTTCAAGAAGATGAAGTTGAGGGGATCCCTGGGTGGCTCAGCGGTTTAGCACCTGCCTTCGGCCCAGGGCGTGATCCTGGAATCCTGGGACGGAGTCCCACATCGGGCTCCCTGCATGGAGCCTGCCTCTCTCCTTGTGTGTCTCTCATGAATAAATAAAATCTTTAAAAAAAAACCAGATGAAATTGATAGAATATCTGCCGTGTCTAGATATTCTGAGGAGATTCAGGCAAATAGGGGAAGATTTTGAGGCAGATTTTGTGATACATTCATAGAAAGCTAAACAAGTGAAAAAGCAACGTAAGTATTAATTCTAGGAAAAAAATCAAAAGTGCAGGAGAGGAAGAGTAATCAAAGTTTTCTACATGGCTCAACTCTGAGTAGCACGTGTAGTCAGTATTATAAAAGCTGAAAAATGAGCTGACAAAAATCATTGCATTAATTTGGGCGGATGGGGGATGAGGTATCAGAGGGCAGGGTAGGAGACCTGAAGGGAAAAGAGTTAAATTCTCCAACCTAGGGGCACCTGGGTGGCTTAGTGGTTGAAGGTCCGCTTTTGGCTCAGGTCCTGGAGTCCTGGGATCGAGTCCTTCGTCGGGCTCCCCGCAGAAAGCTTGCTTCTCCCTCTGCGTCTCTCATAAATAAAAAAATAATAAAATCTTAAAAACAAACAAACAAAACCTCTCCAACCTATCCCTCTTATTTATGGGAGCTGGGGCAAGACTACAAATGGGAAACTTACTCAAATATTTTAATGTTACAAATTAAGCTAACAAACTTAAATAAAATACCTTCTAAACTTTTTTATTTTTTTAAACTCTTTTTTTAAAAAAAGATTTTATTTAGTTATTCATGAGAGACACACACAGAGAGAGAGAGAGCGCGGCAGAGACCCAGACAGAGGGAGAAGCAGGCTCCATGCAGGGAGCCTGATGTGGGACTCGATCCCGGGTCTCCAGGATCACGCCCTGGGCCCAAGGCGGAACTAAACGCTGAGTCACACAGGCTGCCCACCTTCTAAACTCTTAACTTCATAAGGACCTGGAGAGCCTGGTTCTAAATTAGAATTTTGGAATTTCTGGAATCCTCAGAGTCTACACTAGAAGATAGGAGCCCCCAGTCCCTGGCTCTTGCCTCACCCCCTTCTCCTCTGCACTTGCCTCTGTCCTACATTGAGAAAGCCTCACACAGGGTCCTGCGGAGACCCCAACTTGGGCTCTTGCCTCTAGCTTCTTGCTCCAAATAACTGCCCCTTGGCTTTCCCTCAGGCCTAGCGATGCCCATATCATCACCAAGATCCTTCTGGAGAAGATCCTAGGAGATCCAAGGATCTTTGAGAGATCCAAGGAGGTAGGCTGGGCAGGGAGATCCAGGGTCCCAAGTATTTAGGATATGGCCTAGAAGGGGGTAGGTGGGCTTTGGATAGGCATGTCTCCTAGGATTCCTCTCCCTGTGGGGAGGGATGCAACTGAAGCAGGGCCAGAGCAATGAAGGTAAATGCCAAAAGAAACAGCTTAACAGAGCTGAAAATGCCTGCCTCCAGGGAGGGAGATGATGGAGGCAGGGCGCTGCTATTTTTACGAACAAACCATATAGGATTATTTGCCTCTTTAAAATAGGTGCCTACGTATGCTAAGAAATATCTCATTAAAAAAAATTAAAATGTGACTGGTAAAGGTTTATGGCACCTCTGACCACTTCCGCTATGCGCAGAGGCCTCAATAATCAAGTTTGAAAACCACAGGACTAGCCCTTCATTTGAGGCTTTCTAGGTTTTGTGAAGAAACCCACAATGAAGTTTCTCTCTACCAAAGGCCCCCAGAATGAATCCCTCTTCCTTCCTGCCTATTTGTCCCCTTTCATCGAGGAGGAGTTCTGCTTCCTGTGGATCGTTTCCCTGTTTCTCCCGGGAGACCCTGAGCCCCTCGCAAGCAGGGTCACCCCCTGCACAGCTCCGAACCTCCAGCCTCTTGCATTGCACCAAGAGCAGAGTATACAGGTCAGCTGCTGACGAATAAAGGAAAAAGGAAACAGCTTTATCCAGGCTTTGGAGAGCAAGATGCTCCATCCCCTTCTGCACCCGTCTCGGGAGCCCCGTCAGTCACCAGCCCTGAAACCTTCCGCATATTCATAAATAGTTTTGGGTTGCAATTCCCTGATCTGAGCAACACAGCATTTAGCTCACATCTTTATTTTTTTATTTATTATTTTTAGCTCACATCTTTAAGGCCCATAGATGATTGCCTCGCTTTCACCGCTCGGCGGGAGCCCCAGCTTAGAAGAAGTAACTCCAGGCTCACCTGAGCAGCACGTACGCCCCCCGAGGGCAGGGATTTCAGGGGATCTGCTTTTTTTTCACCTGCCATTTGCCCCGTGCGCTGGAACAGTTCGTGGCACGTACCAGATGCTCAACAAATACCTGTTTAATGAATGAATTTAAAAGTGCAAAAAAAAAAAAAAACACTAAACAAAACTATGCAAAGAATAAAAAAGGCCTCTTAGCGAGGTGCAAAGATACCCCTACGTTCTGAACGACACGTCGGTCCAGCCCCCGGTGCCGGGAGCGAGCGGCGGGCCCGGGTCCGGCGGCGGCCGGCGGGCAGGGCGGGAAGCGGGGCAGCCGCCGGCGCGCGCTCCAGCGCCTCGGGCCGCGCGTCCGGAGCCCGCGGCGCCCCGCCCCTCGTGGGCGGGCCCCGGACCTGGCGGCGCGAGGGCGGGGCCTGGCTCTCCGCGCCGGGGGCGGGGCCGGGCCGGGCGCTCGGGGCCGGTGCAGGGCCGGGCTGGTCCGCGGGCGCGACCGGGGCCCCGGCCACCAAGGGGTGCGACCCCCCACTGGCCCCGCCCTCCCGGCTGCGGCCCGGCCAATCAGAGCGGCTCTTACTGGCGGGTGGGCCGAGCCGGCCCAGCTGCTCGGAGGCTCTGGCATGGTAACGTCCCCGCGCGGGGGTGGAGGGGCCCGGGGCGGTCCCACAGCGCCCCCGGCGGCCCGGGCCCGGGCCGGGGGGGCGGGGAGGCCGCCGGGGGTCCCCGGGACCCCGGGGGAGGGCGAGGGGCCTGAGGCGTGAGGGAAAGGAGCCCGGGAGGGGGAGGGGAGCGGGGATTTGGGGGAGAAGGGGCGGGGAGGCCATGATGGAGGATGGCGGGGGTGGGGGAGCGGGGGGTGAGGGGAGCGGGAGTTGCGGGACGGGGTGAGGAGGAGGAGGGGAAGGAGACCTGGTGGGTTTGTGGAGAAAGGTCGGCAAAGGAGAGGGGGCGGGCATGTGGGGACCGAGGGACCGGGGGAGAGCCGGGGGCCGCAGTCCCCCTTCTAGGGTATTCGGCGTGCAGCACGCCCCTCCCCGGCCCCAGCGTTTGCTTCCTTCGGAAGCCCTGGATACCTCCTACAACCCCCTGGGGACCTCCTCCTGCATTTCCCCCGCATTGTCTCCTGAGGTGAGGAGGGGGCATTGTCTCCTGAGGAAAGAGAGGCTTCGGCCCCCACCTCGTGCTGGATAGTCCCAAGAAACGAGAAAGCAGAGGACCCTTGGTCCCAACCCTGGCTCTGCCGCCAACACACTGTGTAACTACTCCGTGTGACCTTGGGCAAGTCACTACCTTTCTTGGGGCCTCAGATTTCCCATTGGTTTAAAAAACAAAAAACAAAAAACCCACAAGGAAAATGTGTGAGAATGATACCCCAGATCTTTTCGAGCTTCGGAATGGGGTGGTTCTTGAGGAAAGAGTGCAGGAGAGTGGGTTCTCGGGTGTGGGCAAGCAAGGCAAAGCAGGCTGAAGATGGAGGCGAGGCCTCCCGGCTGGGGCCGCAGAAAATCCCCAGGGAGGTGGGGGATGGTCGGCACAAAGCCTCCAGCGGGCTAGCCAGCGCCTCTGGAATCCTATTGGAGGGAAGGGAGAACCCTGGACGTGGCGGAGGAGGAAGAGACCTACCCCAAGAAAATGAAGACCAGAATGAGGTCTTCATCCTGAGGAGATGGCAGGACCAGAGAGAAGCAGTGGAAGCTATTTTCTAGTAAGACAGCCAGTATCTTTGGGGGAGTAGGATGACTATAGGAAGGCAGGTGTGGAGGAGGGGGGACTAGGATCGGTCTTGAAAACAGAAGGGCTGGGCCTCTCTGGGTCACCTGCGGCAGGTGAAGGTAGACCGCAGGGTAATAGGCCGGTCTTCTGGCCTCCACGGTGTTTTTCTTTTTGATGATAGGTACTCTTTCTGAGAGGTGTGCCTTCCAGTTTTCATTTTCAGACACAGATCCCTTTAGGGAGTGAGTCAGACCGGGCCATCCTTGGAATCACCTGGAGGATTTCGGGATTGTGTGTGGATTGGGGTGACAAGAAAACAGGAGCACCAATCCGTAAGGAATAGCTGTGGCACCACCATCCTTGCTGAGAGACAGCTTTGTGGAGGAGTTGAAAGCACAGGCTTAGGGCGTCAGGCTGCGTGGATTCCAAACCTGCCTTTAATCCTTTAGAACTTTCTTGGAACGTTGGTCAAGTTACCTAATTTCTCTGAACCTCAGTTTCTTAATTTATAAAATGGGGACAATAATAAGCTTTGAGATGGTTGCAAGGATTAAATGAGTGTTTGGCATGATTTCTGGCCCATAATAAGCACTCAATAAATATTAGTTGTTAGCTGTTCTCTCTTGCCATGCTCTCCCCTCATCTCTCCATTCTTGTTCTTTTCCTGTTTTATTCTTTCATCTGAATCTTTAGTTCTGACATGCCACTTAGATGTGAAGGCTGAGAAAAATTGATTGCACCTTCGGGAGGGGAGGCTGTCCTTCCACTGGCCCAGGTGAACACATGATGGTCAGATGATCAATTGTCTCTTCGTCTCTCTCCAACCCACAAATGTGTTTTTGTTCCAGAGAAGACACAGGATCTGTTCTTTGAGTCCCCTTTCCTATATCCCTTTGTCACATGAGTTACTTCAGTCTCGCCCCAAAGCTGTCCAGGCACTGCTGCAAGTGAGATAGGGGCAGGGGTGTTCCAGGAAGAAAAGTATACACGTTGCACAGGGAAGCTCAGCAAAGGGAGGGCTGTGGAAGTTTCACGGTAATTTATGTTCATTCCATTGCTCTGTCCTCTGCGGGAACTGTCCAAAACAGTCCAGCCTCTGGATCCTGGCCAGTGGTCTCCATTCCTAGTTAAAGATGGTCAGTGCTCGCTTTGGCAGCACATAGGCCAAGTTAAAGATGGTCATATACAGTTTTTTTTTTTAATTATTTAGGTTTTTCCATGCCAGTATTTGATTCTAGTTCCCTTTCCCCAGCCGTACAGATAGCCAAGCTGTCTGTCTCATCACAGGCCACCTTTACCCAGAGAATTTCTACGAATGCACCCGGGCACATGTGTACAGATGCACGCATTTGCCTGCTTTAGGATACTCCAGTATGCAAAAATTTAATAAGGTTAAGGATGAGTCTGCATTTTACCACAGCACTTTGCATGCAGGGCCCTGATTAGACATTCAAGAGGAGGCTCAAAAGGAGAAAACATAATCCCTGAATATAGAGAAATGTCCTCCTGAGTAGGGAGACAAGCGGTCCTGTGGGAAGCACCCAGCAGCATCCACAGAGTAGTGTGTCAGCAGTGCCAAGTAGTGCAGCATTTATCCTGGGGACACAAGGAGGTAGGAGTATGTGTATGTGTGGAGGATAATCATAAAGGTAGTCTGAAGGGGGGGAATATTGACTCATCTTGAGCAAAGTGAGAGACAAAGTGGAATAAGAGAAACACATGGCATAACCTAACAATTGCTGTGCAGAGAGGAGGGAAGCCATTTAATCAGGCTGAGCCAAGAAGAGCGGCTCACCTAATATTGAGACTGTTAGGTGAGATTCTGTAAGGCGAGCAATAGGGAGTTCTCAAGGAAGGGTTGGATCCTTGCTGATTTAAGCACATGGGTGGTGGGGAATATGCGAGAGTGAAAGAACAGACCTGCTTCCTGCCGCAAGGACTATGCTGAAGGGGTAGATTAGAGCCAGTCCTGGCGCAGACCATGGTGGACCCGGGGCCTGATAATTCCCCTTAGGTTTCTCATCGGAGAAAGGGACTGCCGTGGGTGGTTGCCAGAGTCCCCTCCAGCTCTGACATTCTGTGTTCCCTGAATAACTCCTAGGCCTTACCAAGGGCTGTGTTTTTGTGGGACCTGCGAGACCATTAAGTCAACAAATATTAACACCTTCTCTGTTGCAGTTGGGGGCAGTGAGGAAAATACACCGGGGATAGGACAGCAGCGTGAGCCAAAACAGGCAAGATCCCCACCGCTTAAAGTTTAAGGTCTAGTGGAGGCGGCAGGTAATTCATTGATTCCACTCACATTTTAACATTTTTTTTTGTCAAGATACATCTTAAAATCAGTGGAGTATCATAGTTTAAGTGGGAGCATTTGTTTTTTATTAGTGGCCACATAAAATAACAGGACCGTCAACATTGTGCAAGTAACTAAAATTCCAGTGGGTAATTGCTGGAGGGGAGGGTGCATGGTACAGCCTAGACCACTGCATTGGGAGAAAGCCTTTGCTGAAGAGGCGATGACTGGTAGACGTGAGACCTGTAGGCTAGGTGTGTGGCGTTGGCAGGAAGTGGTGCCAGGCACAGATGCATGCCTGATGTCGGGGAACCGAGAGGAGGTGAGCGTGGCTGGAGCACAGACCCAGAAACTCAGCAGGGATGAGGCTGGCTAATCTGTTGGGAAGCAAATTTCCCACAGCCTTCCAGGTCTTGGGGAGGAGTTTTGGTCTCTACCCTAAGAGCAGTGGGAGCCATCGAAGAATTTTAAGCGCGGAGTAATGTGGTCTGAGGTGCATTTTGATGAGCTTGTGGATGAGGGGAGACTACCACAGAAGGTCAGATGAAAACAAGAGGGGTGGGGGGATGGCGGAGGAAATGGAGAGAAGTGGACAGATTCAAGAAATGTGTACGCGGTACAATTAGTAGGACTCGGTGACATATTGACAGGGAAGAGGGAGGTGTGGAGAATGACTCAAGGGTTTCTATCTTAGACAGCCGTATGGACGGTGGTGCCAGTCTCAGGCAACTCTGGAGCCTGGCAGGACCCAAACAAAGGTGGTTATGTAGCATTTGGGAGGTCAGAGAGGATCCTGAGGCAGCTTGAGGTGGATAAGTGTGGCCCAGAGAATCGGGTTTCCTCCCATATTGATGAATTTCTGACTTCCCATGCCGCAGACAGACTTGGGGCAGGAGCAGGTCTGAATACGGGGCCAGAGTAGTTGAACACTGAGAAAGGTGATTCAAGGTGGAATAATGTGGCTTCTCCACTTCTCTCCTTAGAAGATGGGTGGGAAAAGAGGAAGGACAGATATTACTAGAGGTAGAGATTAGAAAGCATCTTCACATGCTGAGCCTTCTCAGCACAGGGGTCATTGGGGAAGTAGGGAAATTGGGCAACTCCTCTTTAGCCACCTACCACCTTTCCCTAGAACTCCCTAACACCCCGTAACCTGCATGCAAAAAGGAGGAAAGGCAGGGCTTTTTAGCTACATCTCCAAGCCTTAGTTCACTTGAAAAGTATTTGGTTTTTTTTTGAATGGGTAATATAGTCACGTGGATGCATATTCAAAGGTTACAAAAGGGCATACGTACAGTGTGAAGTCTCCTCACCTCAGCCCCCCTGCTGCTGGTTTCTGTCTTGTATGTCATCTTTTCTCCAGTTTTCATACAAATGATCCCACTTTGCTGTACTTTGCATTTTTTCCACTCGTTAATGTATCTTAGAGATTGCTCCTATCAAGACAAGCTTCTTCATTTTTTGACTGCATAGTATTCCATTTTCTATTTGTGTGTAATTTTCATAGTTACTTAGTGATGGATATTTAGGCTGATTCCAGTCTTCTGTTTTAACGTATGATGCTGGAATGGAAACGTATACACATCATTTGGACCATGTGGGGCTATATCTATAGGGTGAAATTTTAGAATTATGAGTGTTTGTTCCTCCATTTGTTCCTTCTTGCATTCATTCAATATTTATTGAGTACCCATTATGTGCCAGACACCGTGGCAGGTACTAGGAGTCCAACTTTCAACAAGTCATACACGATCCTTGTCCTCATGAAACGTTATGACATGTTAGTAAGGGGAAGTGTAATAATTACGAAAACTGTATACACCAGGAAACTAAGAAGGGAATTAGAGAATAAATTCACCAGTCAGGAAGGCTTGGTGGAGCGAGCGGTATTGAAGCCAACAGCTGAGGAATGGGATGTGGCAGCCAGTAGGCGGAGGACCCCGAGATCTAGGCTGTTCATAGTCTCCGCCTCAGGGAGAGGAGTTCGCGATCTGTAGGGGCGGGGCAGTAGAGCTGTAGAGGAGGGGATGATGGGGAGTGGGAGGTGTCAAAGAGTGAGCAAGTGAGTTGTGGGGAGCCCTCCCCACAGTGAAGAGAGAGCAAGGCTAGTGCTTAAGCAGGCTTGGTGACTAGGTTTAGAGAGCTTTGGGGTTGAATCTAACTGGGTGAATTCAGGTAGGGGGATGGGACAAGAGGTCTGCTTTGGGAATGGGAGACCTCTGTTGAAGGTTTGAGGGAAGTACAGCCTTGCCCACAGATGGCAGAATGGATGAAAAGCCTCAGCAAGAGCCAGACTGTGCCTGTGGTACAGCCGCCTCCATCTTTTCTGTGGCTTTGGCGAGATAAAGACAACACCGAAGGGGCACGGCTGGCTGGCTCTTGGCTGGTGGAAGAGAGCAGACCTAGCCAGGGCTCACTCGGAGCTGGGCATGGGCAGGAAACTGGGCCAGGAGACCCTTCCTCTGAACTTTGTGCTCCTTTTTCATCCTCACCGCTCTGCTTCCCTTCTGCAAAAGCCCATCTCTTTGCCCGTCCTGGGTCCTATGACTTTTCTCTCCCTCAACAGTCGGTTCCCGATTCTGGTCCCCGGCCCCCAGCAGCGCCTGCCCCCTTCCCACCGGGGCCCCCCATGATGCCACCACCCTTCGTAAGTTTTATGTCTTTCCCTGGGCTTGGCTTTTCCAGCCTGCACCCCCTACTTCCCAGTCCCTAGCACTGCTGCATCGCCAGCACGGTTTCGTGTAACGCCCCCTCTACTGCCCTTGGAAAAGGGGTGGTGTTGCTTGGGCATTGGGGTGGGAGGAGCTGCTGCTCCCAGTCCATAAAGTTGACAGCTCCCCCTTTGACTTTTCATCCTTGGGATACATTGGGGCTGGGGTAGGAGAAGTGGAAGGGAAAAGACCCTGCTAGTGTGAGGGCATGGTGGGGCCGCCTGTCTCTTTCACTACTCCTTCTCTGTGCTTTCAAAGTGCCACAGAAGTCAGGCTGACATAGCAGCTGGTGGTCATCGAGTTGGAGCAAAAGGGATGGGAGGCAGGGGACTGGGGCATTTGGGTACCTGGGATGCTGCCTTCTGGCCCTGCCTCTGAGGGGCCTCTTTGGGGAGAGTCGCTGAAGAGATGGAGCCTTCCAGCCACGGTCTGGTGGTGGCACTTAGACTTTTCCCTCTCCCTTCCCTACCTCTGAAGAAGCGGTGTGCTTGCCTGTTAGACCCAGAAGCCCGCCCCTCCCCCCGTCTCTCTCAGTGGCGAGGAGCAGGCAGTTTCATGCTTTGTGCTTCTCGAACTGAAGCCTTGGAATTGCCTCAGAGCTGGGGTGGAGGGCTGAAAAGGGCGGGAGACAGGCGGGTGTTCCCTGGCAGTCTAAGGTCGTGTCCAACCTGCTCAGTATCCCTTCCTTTCCTCACTTTCAGATGCCCCCTCCAGGAATCCCCCCACCCTTTCCTCCGATGGGACTGCCCCCCATGACTCAGAGACCACCAGCCATCCCCCCGATGCCCCCCGGCATCATGCCCCCAATGCTTCCACCAATGGGGGCACCACCGCCACTCACGCAGGTAATCCTCTCTCCTCCAGTAGTGCCACAGAAAACCCCGGGTGTCCAGTGGGAGGGGGCGGAGGTGAGAGTGGGCATCTGGACTTGAAAAAGTAGGGAGAGAAGGGCCGCGCTTGACTCGGCCCATGCAGATTCGTCTGCTGAATGACTAGAGGATGCTCTCCTGCTAGCCCAAGCGCCCAGAACCTGGGGATTGTCTGAGGGGGTGCCCGTGTGAAGCTCATGGCCCCTGGCGGGATCTCTCCGAAGCCTGCCTTGCCTGCGCCTGCTCTCACTTTGGTAGCTGTTTTTTGTGTTCTTTGTATCCCTAGATACCAGGAATGGTACCTCCCATGATGCCAGGAATGCTGATGCCAGCGGTGCCTGTCACCGCAGCGGTAAGCACTGGGGCCGGCAGGAAGCAGGCTGTGTCCTGCAGCCCTGTGGGTCTGACTTGGAGTACAGGGATATGGCCTCCATTCTTTCCCTCTTGTCATCGGATCCATCCTGGGCCTGGCAGCGCCTCCCCACACTCAAGTCCTCCTCTCCAGCCCCGTGTTCCACTCTTTTAGTTTCTCACTCCTTCCCAAAGGCATGTACATTCTCTCTTGTTACTCTTCACTGGGCCCAGCTCCCTTAAGGAACACATTCGTGGTACACTGCTTACCCTTGCAGAGCCAGCACTGCAGACACTTGAATACAGTTCCCTCGTCACATCTTCTTTGTCTCTGGAGGTAGCAACAGCACCTGCGAGTCTCCCCGTGCCTTCTTGTACCGTTGCTCAGTGTAGTAGAGTCTGGGTAGGATGTAGCATTTGGCATCCACTGTGGAAGAGGGGCCTTGGAGGTTGACTCCACAAAATACTCTCACTTGAGACAAACCGAGAACAGAGCTGCTGTGCAGTTCCCCCTAGGATCCTCTAGCCACAGCCCCAGAGGGTGGGGGATGCCTGTTAGGGAGCAGAGGTCCCTGGGAGCAGGACACATGGATCCTGGCCTGGCCTGCTTCTTCATCCCCCATGGCCTGGGTCTTGGGGGCCACCGGGCTTGGCCCCAACCCTTCCCCCTCCTCTTTCTTCGGCAGACGGCTCCGGGTGCGGACACAGCCAGCTGTGAGTCTTCTGGGGGTCTGCTCCCCCCAGGCTCGGAGGTTGGGGGGTACAGGGGAGAGGGGACCATGGACTAGAGCCCACCCTGGATCATGCCTGTTGGGATGCCAGGGAGCCTGGGATGTTGATGGGACCAGGGGATATTTAATGGGGATGGAGTAGGGGAGGAATAGGTGGGATAAGATGGGGGTCGGGGCAAGGACTTAATGTTTCCCTTGGCTTCTTTTCTAGCTGCTGTGGCTGGGACAGGCCCTCCGGTGAGTTCTTCTAGCTCAGGGGTCTCTGGGTAGAAAAGCTGGAAGTTGGGGGGCTGACAGTTCAATTTTGGGGTAAGGAGGAGAAGCTCTGGGGAAGGGGCCTTGACCACCGTTCTGTGCCCCCCCAGAGGGCCCTGTGGAGTGAGCATGTGGCCCCTGACGGGCGCATCTACTACTACAATGCTGACGACAAGCAGTCCGTGTGGGAGAAGCCCAGCGTGCTCAAGTCCAAGGCAGAGGTCCTGAGCGGGGCTTTCTGGCCCTTCCTTTAGGCTGCCCCGACCCTTCCAAGTCCTTGGCCTCCCCCTGTGTCTTTAACCACACACATGGTTCCTTTGATCCCAAGATCCCTGACCACTCCCCCAGCCTCCCTAGGATCTCCGGAAGTCTCCTTTCCCCCTTGTTGAGCCAGGCCAGGTGGTAGCTAACAACTCCCTACTCACTGGATCCCCTGAGCTCCCCCAGCTGTAGTTAGAGGGCGTGCCCAGCCAACTGACATCCTCTGACCCAACCTCTTGCAGTTGCTGCTGTCCCAGTGTCCCTGGAAAGAGTACAAGTCAGACACGGGCAAACCTTACTACTATAACAACCAGAGTAAGGAGTCTCGCTGGACCCGGCCCAAGGACCTGGATGACCTGGAGGGTGAGGAGGAGGTGGGGTCTGGGCTGTGGTTCTGGGGGGTGGCCCTGGCCCCCCGTGACCATGGTATCTTTTCCCATTGCAGCTTTAGTCAAACAAGAGGCTGCAGGGTGAGTGACTTGCCCATCTGTCCACCTGTACTTGGGGCCACCTGAGGGGTGGGAGCAGACCCTCTCTCCGTGATCCCTGCTCAGTGGACAAGCCAGCTCTCCGTTTCCTCGTGGAGTGGTCTGCTCTGGCCGCAGTCCTTCGCAGGATCGAGAGAACAGCTTTCCCCTGGCTGTCCCCTCTCTGCTCCACTCCTGGACACTGCCCTTCCGGCCCACCTGCAGGAAACAGCAGCAGCAGCAGCAGCCCCAGATACTGCAGCCGCAGCCACCTCAGCCCCAGCCTGAGCCCCCGCCTGGGCCGCCTGGCCCCACCCCTCTGCCCCTGGGCCTTCTAGAGCCTGAGCCAGGTGGGAGTGAAGATTGCGATATGTCAGAGGCTGCCCAGCCTGTGGAGCAGGGGTTTCTGCAGCAGCCGGAGGAGGGCCCCAGCAGGTGAGGGCTGCCCCCGAGGCATTCCAGATGCGGACCTCGAGCTCCCAGCCTGGTTCCACCCTTGACTTCTGCCAGGCCTGTGGGGAAGGGTGTGAAGATCTGGGCCTGGCCTCTGCAGGGCAGGAGAGGGCTGCTTTGGGAAGCCAGGAGAGGGTGGCCTACCCCTGATCGCATAGAGCACTGAAAGCTGTGGGGACTGGGAGGCGCTGTGGCTGAGCCCCCTTTGCCCCCCAGTGCTGCTGGACAGCATCAGCCACCACAGCAGGAGGAAGAGGAATCAAAGCCAGAACCAGAGAGGTCTGGCCTCAGTTGGAGCAACCGGGAGAAGGCAAAGCAGGCCTTCAAGGAGCTGCTGAGGGACAAGGTGCGGGGGTGGGGCTCCCAGGGTAGGCCTGGAGGGTGCTGGAGGGGGGCAGGCCCCATGACCCCTGCCTGCTCCATTCTAGGCTGTCCCCTCCAATGCCTCGTGGGAACAGGCAATGAAGATGGTGGTCACCGACCCCCGTTACAGGTAGGCCTGGGCAGAGGGAGCCAGGCCCTCCAGAACGCGTGTGTGAGAGCAGCTGGGCCAGGGCCTCCCTGAGAAGCCCCAGCTCAACACTCTGGCCCCAAGGGGATCCGAGTCAGGAGAGTGATAGAAGGGCAAGGATGCAGGGGAAGGAGAAGCTGGAGGGCCTCCAGGAGGAGGGGGGGAAAGGTATCTGACGTGAGACCTTCAATAAATGCTTGTTGAATTGAATTGATTCGAATTGAATTAATTGGGGTTGAGGGGGCTGGATAGGGTGGAGGCCTGACTGCACCTTGAGAATCCCAGAGCAAAAGGGCCCAGCGTTAGCAGTGTCTTCCCCTCACTGCCTCATCCCAGAGACGCGTCTGGCCTCCCTGCAGCCTGCTGTGCCCGTGCATGGACCCCTCACTCAGTTCTGTGTACCTGCTCGGTGGGCTGTGCGGGGTGGTTCAGGCTGACTCCTCTGCCCCCACCCTGCTCCCACCCTCTCCACCCCAGTGCCTTGCCCAAACTGAGTGAGAAAAAGCAGGCATTCAATGCCTACAAGGCGCAGCGGGAGAAGGAGGAGAAGGAAGAGGCCCGGCTAAGGGCCAAGGAGGCCAAGCAGACCTTGCAGCATTTCCTGGAGCAGCACGAACGCATGACCTCCACCACCCGCTACCGGTCAGGGGGCCGGGCTGGGGCGGGGCCTGGGAACCCCGAGAACGCACGGGCACAGGGTCTCTGTCCCCTGCCTGCCTACCCACAGCCCGTATGCTCCACAGGCGAGCAGAACAGACCTTTGGGGAGCTGGAGGTGTGGGCTGTGGTCCCTGAGAGGGATCGAAAAGAGGTTTATGATGATGTCCTCTTCTTCCTGGCCAAGAAGGAGAAGGTAACAGTCACTGGCTGGATCAGTCAACCCGTCTCACTTTAGAGTCTTCGTATCTTTGCATCCCTGTGGACCCCGGCCATTCACTTCCCCACTGCTCCAGGCCCTCAGCTCCTTCCTGGGAAGCTGGCGTGGCACTTGCACATCCCCCCCACCCATCTCTGCGCTGGGCCTGCAACCTGGGTGTGGGAGGGCAGGAAGGCATCTGTACGGGGTTGGTCTGGAACCGGTGTTCCTTCCCCCTTCCGGGGATGTGAAGGTCTTGAGTCTGGTCTTCCTAGGGTTCACCTAGCTGCCTGCCTTGCCCCAAATGCTCCTCTGCCCAGGCCCACTTGAATATCTCTGACCTGCCCTACCTCACCCTGACCCTGACACTGTGGCTCCTCAGGAACAAGCCAAGCAGCTCCGGCGCCGCAACATCCAGGCCCTGAAGAGCATCCTGGATGGGATGAGTAGTGTCAACTTCCAAACTACATGGTCCCAGGCCCAGCAGTACCTCATGGATAACCCCAGCTTTGCTCAGGACCACCAGCTACAGAGTAAGCCCGGGTTCTCCACTCCTGCCTGTCCCTTCCCCTTTCCTCACTGACCTGGGATCCTGGAGCCTGCCGCATACCGCTCCCCACTGCACTTCCTGCCCTCCTGGACATCCAAGGGTCCTCAGCACTCACTCAATCCCTGTATCTCTCCAGACTCTGGAGATCCCAGAACACTGGGGCACCCCCTTCCTCTCTCTGGGGTCCACTGTTGACCTGGACGTTGTGTGTTCTTGGAGGAAGAGCTCTGGGATAGGTGTCAGATGACCAGGAGAGAAGGATGATTTTTAGAACTCATCTGAATATGGTCTTAAATTGTTGTGGTGCTATGGACCACAGCTGGTCACGTGTGTTCTGATGAGCTGTTGTTGGCCTGTAGTCACTGACAAATCAGAAATTTACCTTTGGAACCTTCATCAAAGCCGGATTGATTCCATAGAACATAAAATCTCAGATCGCAAGATTATTGGTTTCATAAGATTACTTCCAGTAAGTGAATTCACAGGGGCTGAATACTTGCTAATTTTTTTTCTCGTACGTTAATGAACCCTCCTCCAGAACCACCATTCCAGTCTCCTCTCCCACAGAGGCCTCTGCTCCTCTGGCCCCACCACACTGGGTGACCCTGGCACCTACTGAGGCAGCATCCTTGAACAGTAGGGGTGCCAGGGTCTGGGAGGGAGGGTGTCCCACCGATGTGGTGCCAGCTGAGCCTCTTCCCTGTGCTTAGACATGGACAAAGAAGATGCACTGATCTGCTTTGAGGAGCACATCCGAGCTTTGGAGAGGGAGGAGGAGGAGGAGCGGGAGCGGGCCCGCCTTCGGGAGCGGCGTCAGCAACGCAAGAACCGGGAGGCCTTCCAGGTACCTTTGCCACCTGCCCGCTGGATAGGAGCTCAGCTTCGCGCCAGACCGTGACCTCTTTGCCCAGGCCCTGCCGCCCTGCCTCCTCTTAGCTAGGCTGTTTGTGCTCTGTCTCTGCCCAGTCATGTGCTTCCTCCACAAGGCCGCTCTGTGCCTGCAGCTCCTGCTGTGTCCCCTCAACTCTGGGCCAAGCTCCTCTAGGGAGGCTGTATGTATGCACCACCCAGAAACTGCCAGCAGAGAGCACCCTAAAGGCACAGCTTAGGAGCTTAGCCGAGTTCATTTCCCTTCTGCGGGGAGCTCGATAGGCAGAGCTAGCTCATCCCGCAACACACACAGCTTGGAGGTGGCGGCAGAGGTGGTATGGTGGGGGTTCTTAGCCGGAACACATTGGGAAGCTGAGAGCAAACCACAGGAAGGACAGGCTGCAGACAAGTTTCTGTTTTTCTGCTCCTTGTCTCGTTTGAGTCTATCCTGCTCTGTATTTGCATTCTCTCTGTTTTCACTGCTCTCTGCCTCCCTATCTACATCTCTTCATCTCTGCCTCCTTTGCCTGCATTTCCTCAGTCTGAATTGTCCCGGCCTCCCTCTCCCATCCATCCCCTCTCCTCCTCCCCAGTCTCTGGCTGGCCCCTCTCCGTGTCTCACTAGCCCTATAACTGGCCTCTCTCTGCTCAGACCTTCCTGGACGAGCTGCACGAGACAGGGCAGCTGCACTCTATGTCCACCTGGATGGAGCTGTACCCAGCGGTCAGCACCGATGTCCGCTTTGCCAACATGCTGGGCCAGCCGGGTAAGGCAGCCAGGCTCCCCTTCCTCTGGCCTGGCTTCCTGCCCTGCCAGCCTCTCTGCACCCCTACTCCCTGGTCCTGTCCTCGACCCTACCCCCAGGCCTCGGGAAGCTGCCGCCCGCCAGGCCCCCCTCCCTCCCTCCCCCGCAGGCTCCACCCCTCTGGACTTGTTCAAGTTCTATGTGGAAGAGTTGAAGGCACGATTCCATGATGAGAAGAAGATCATTAAGGACATCCTTAAGGTGAGGGGAGGCCCAGGGTTGTGGATGGATGCAGACTGGGTGCAGGGCATACTCTCTGGACAGGACTCCCTGATAAGTCCAGTTCTGTAGGAGCGTTGTAGCTCAGTTCAGCAGATATCCACTACGATCCCTAGCTGTTCACCTGGGACACGGAAAGATACAATTTCTGTCCATAAGGAGCTCATGGCTTAGTAGGAAGAGAAACATGACACCTATTATATACAGAGGGGCAAATGCTGTTACAGAGACAAGAATCAAAAGAATTGACATTTGAACTATGCCTTTAAGAACAAGTAGGTGGGGGAGGATGGAGGTCGTGGGCACAGGGTATGACAGGAGCAGAAGCAAGGGAGTGGGAAGGGCACGGCAGGTTTGAGGAGCAAGGGGCATGGCTCATCACAAACTGATAGCTTGTGGATACGTGTTCCTTCTGGCCCGTACAGCATTTTAGCAAAATTCCAAATTGGCCACTAACGTTTTAGAACTTAGGAGATTGTACATAAAAATCTGGGTCTTCAACTTTTCTTAAGCTGGGCTGGTTTCGCAAGGCATTCAGTGGACTCAGGCTGACGCCATCCTTGTCCTCACCGCTCCCGCCACGGCTCTGGCGTGGCAGCGGCTCCCTCAGCTCAGGCACATACATGGCTTATCTTACGCTGGAGAGAGAGTTCTCCAAGTCTCTGTCCATCAGAGGTGGATAAAGGGTTATTGCAGCGAGAGAGCCTTGTGTTTCAGAAGGAAAAAAACAAAGAGGAAGCGTATTCCTTTGTGGAAGTGAAGAGCATGCAAAGGCCCTGGGGAGGAGACACGCCCGGCAGTTAGGGGCAGCGCTGTGCAGGCAGGCTGCTCGGGATATGAGGCCCGCTTAACCACTTGCTAGCTGTGTGACCTCCGGCAGACTTTTTAAGCTTTCTGAGCCTCAGTTTCCTCATTGGACAAAGGGGTTACTTTCCACCAGCACACACCTAGTTCCAAGGGTTAGAGTAACTGGGTACCTGGGATGAGAAGGGTCTGAGAACAAAGCTAAGAATGTCCCACTTGCACACACAACACTTATTTTTTCTAGAAGTCTTGTGTCTTGACTTACAGATCCGGGTGTTGCATCTTATTACCATATTACTTCTCTGTTCAATGTAAACTTCGTGTTTTAAAATTCCTTACCATTAGGTAGGACAGGCCATACTGTCCCGTGGCTTCCTCGGTTTCCCTGGAACCCTACGTCCCAGTTTGGAAGTAGAACCCTATGTGTAAAATACCTTGAATGCTAAAATAAGAAATTTGGATTTTTATCTTGTAAGTTACAGGGAGCCAGGGAATGATATGGTCAGATGATGTCTTGGAAGAGGCACAGGGTCAGTGTAGAGTCACACCTCTCAGACCAAGGGCTTGTGTCCTAGGGGATGGATGGCGGTAGGACAAAGCCTCGGGACACTGAAAAGTCTTAGTGGCAAGTGATTCAAACTGATTTTGAGCTTGAGCCATCCTCTTCTGACTCAGCCCCAGGCTCTCTCCCCTGCCGTTAGGGCCCTTTGGTAGAAAAGTTGGAGCAGTGCAGGACTCTGGGGTACGGGTTAGAGGTGCAGGAGGGGAGAAAGGAGGCCAGACAGGAGGTAACCTAAGTGGCAGAGGAGCTCGGCAGGGGCAACAGGGGCAGCAGATGAGGGAGGGCTGTGGTGCTCCATCTCTCTTTTTCTGAGACACCCTCCCCACACCCCGGGTTTCTTCAGGGGTGCCTTGGGACAAGAAAGGAGGGGATTTTATACTCCTTCCTTTGGTTTTCAGTACAGCAGCTTTTCTTTTATATATGGAGGTTTTACATAAGAATTTTTGTTGAAAAAATGTTTCTGCTGTTAAAAAAAGTTTAAGATCAGGAGGATAGTCACTCAGAAGTTGAATGGACAGATTGTGTGTGTGAAATGGAGGGCAAGGGAGGAGTGAGTTGAAGTTGGTGGAGGAGGAGGATGGTACCATTTGTGAGGATTCAGGAACAGGGATGGAGAAAAACAGGAATTCTATCTGGGGAATTAGTCTGAAAAGTACCCTGGGGCAGGGAGGAATATGAAGCAAATGCCATATTTTAAATAGGATAACCGTGTGAAGTATAAATATCTAATCCCGGGAGAGCTAAATTTTATTGGATGCTTACATTTTAGCCACAGAATGGCTGGTCCTGCTGACAGGCCTGTAGGCGTCCTGTCCTCGCTGTCTCTCCACGTCTCCTGAGAAAGGGGCTTCTTTTTTTTTTTTTTTAATTTTTTTTAAATTTTTTATTTATTTATGATAGTCACACACACAGAGAGAGAGAGGCAGAGACACAAGCAGAGGGAGAAGCAGGCTCCATGCACCAGGAGCCTGATGTGGGATTCGATCCCGGGTCTCCAGGATCGGGCCCTGGGCCAAAGGCAGGCGCCAAACCGCTGTGCCACCCAGGGATCCCGAGAAAGGGGCTTCTTTAGACAGGTCCCTACCTCTTCCCCCTTTTGGGCTCCTGCCTATGGAAGGCCGATGAGCCCAGGAGTTCCTGTGATCATCCACTACCCCGGGACACTGTGAGGGCACCTCTCACCCCATAGGATAATGCAAAGAGCCCTGGACTTGGAACAGCTGGAAGCCAGGAGATCTGGCCTGGGAGATCCATGGGGGTGGGGACAGAGGTGGCTCACAGGGAATGAATTCTCTTGGGGTCTGCTAAATTAGAAGTTTCTTTGAAATAGTCTATTATGGGTCTGAAAATCAGGATGGAGGGAGGGCTGGGATGGCTAGGGACAGTGTAGATGGAAAAGACCAAGTGCTGTTCTCCAGGGAACTAGCACATGCAAGAGAGGCAGGAAAAGAGGTCAGAGAGACAAGAGGGCAGTTGAAGTGAGCAGCACCAAGTACAAGGACCAGTCAAGTGAGGACCAGGAAGGGGCCCTTAGAGTTGTCTATGGGGACATGAGCACTTTTAGGAAGGCTGTGTCCTTAAAGAGGGATGAGTGGCTACAGCACAGACCTTGGAGTGTTTATTGGTTGAGATCTCTGCAAGTTATATAATGTGTGAGCCTCCGTTTCCTCATTTGTACAATAGGGGTAACATATGCGCATGGTTGTGAGAAGTGGTAATATTTGTAAAGTGTCTTGCGTATAGTAGGCTCACTTCATGTTAATTTGTTTTCCTTTATGCTGCATTTAAAGATTTTGAAACAAAGGAAAAGCAGCATGGGTTGTTAGCTTGAGGAAGGTGACCACAGAGGGGACGGGGATGTTCCCAGTTAAGCGAGGTGTGAGCTTGACGGAAGGAGCCAGGGGAGAAGTGGGATCGAAGCTTTGGGTTCCCTGACAGAGACTGGTGGGTCTGAGAGGAACCTGAGCATAGGTTGAGGAAGTGCTCTTGGAATACACGAGAAGAGCATGCTCTCCATATTACAGATCTGAAAACTTAAATACAACACTGTATGTTAACTAACTGGCATTACAGTAAGAACTTAAAAAAGAAGAGCTCGCTCTGCCATGGGTGGGAAGGCCAGAGCAAATTAGTGCCGTGTGGAGGGAGGGGAGTGGAACCGGACTTCCGCCCCCGCTGACTCAGACTCCAGTGGCTCCACTTTTCACCAGGTCAACTTGGGCCAAGTGTCGACCTAAGCCTCTGCTTTATTGAGGTGTTGGGAGGCGTAGAGGACAAGCTCTGAGCCTGGCCCAGGGTGTTTCGAGAAGGGGAGGTGTTTTTAATAGTGTTCTGGAGTTGTACACCTGAGGGCCACGGGATCTGTGGGTGTAGTGCTTCCAACTGTGGGCTTCGGTGCTAGAAGGACCTGGGGTAGAGTTCTGCGTCCACTGCGTATTAGCCGAGAGACTGTGGGCAAGTGCTCTCCTCTCTCCAAACCTTGGTTTCTCTTGCCACACAAAATTAGGAGGCCAGGACTTAGGCTTAAATTTCGATGCTGAGGATTAAGAGAGAGATCAGGTGTGCAACGCACTCAGCACGGTACCTGGCACCATAGTAAGCACTCGAAATAAGCCAGAGGACGGGACCAGCAGATGTTGACTGAGAACGTGGGGAAGTTACTGAGCAGCAGGAGGGCCCAAGTGGGGCCCAGCCTTAAGCCAAAGGAACAAAGAATTAATTGTGAGAAACTTAGGCGTCAGCAGACGTGGCGCACACACCCCGCTCCCCGCGCTCCTTGTGATCCAATGCCCCCCTCAGCTCCCTGTGCGTCCAGACCAAGGGCAGGCATGGGAGGCTCAATCGTCAGATGGTGAGGACTCGGACAACCTGGTTTCAGAAGTGCATCTGAGTCCTGTGGGTCTCTTCTGGGGCCTGGGGGATTCTAGAGCATCCTGTAGTCTGCCCGTCTGCCTGCCCTGGAGGCTGGCTTCAGGCTTCAGGCCCGCGGTGGCCCCTGCTTCATGTGCCGCTGTGCCCACAGGACCGGGGCTTCTGCGTGGAGGTGAACACAGCCTTTGAGGACTTCGCCCACGTCATAAGCTTTGACAAGAGGGCTGCTGCGCTGGACGCAGGCAACATCAAGCTGACCTTCAATAGTGTGAGGGGCCGGGCGGGGCGGGGCTGTAGCCAGGGCTCCATTCTCAAACTCATCCCGTGTCTCATTCCATTCCTTCTCACGCACTGCCCCAGTGTGCTGTTCCTCACCCCGTTCCGGGGATGGCGGCAGGAGCCCAGACCCCAGCTTCCCATGTCCTACAGCATGCCTGAGTGGGGCCTGGACACCCGCCCTCCCGGTGACCCTGCCTCGCGTGCTTTCTGTCCTCAGCTGCTGGAGAAAGCAGAGGCGCGGGAGAGAGAGCGGGAGAAGGAGGAGGCGCGAAGGATGCGGCGCCGGGAGGCTGCCTTCCGGAGCATGCTGAGGCAGGCCGTGCCGGCCCTGGAGCTGGGCACTGCCTGGGAAGAGGTCAGGGCCGCAGCCTGGCACCACACACCACCCTCTCAGTCCTGAGGGCAGCGGTGCTTCTCCACCACCGGGGGCCCGCCCCAGTCATGGCGCAGCTCGCGGCCAGCTCCGGCTCCCTTCCTTCCTCTGCCCCAGCCCTGCCCTGTGCTCATGGCGGCGTCCGTGCCTTGCCGGGGCTGGTCTGATCAGCAGTGCTCTCCCGTTCAAGGTCCGTGAGCGCTTTGTGTGCGACTCAGCCTTTGAGCAGATCACCCTGGAGTCGGAGCGGATCCGGCTCTTCCGGGAGTTCCTGCAGGTACTGGAGGTGAGGCAGGGCTTCCTTCCCCCGACGCGTGTCCCAGCTCGTGAGCACCCAGTGCGGCCTCCTGCCCGTCGGGCTCTCCCTTCCCTGCCGTGTGGCAGCGGCACTGGACAGGAGGCGAAACCAGATTTTCGGGTGCAGGGTGCTTCCTGTGGCTAGCCCTGGTGCCCTCCTCACCCCTCTCTCTGCCTCTGCAGACTGAATGCCAGCACCTCCACACCAAAGGCCGGAAGCACGGCAGAAAGGGCAAGAAGCACCATCGGAAGCGTTCCCGCTCGCCCTCAGTGAGTTGGTGGGCAGAGGCGATGGTGGGGAGGGGTGGCTGGATCCTTAGGGAAACAGGAGTCACGTTTCTTGTCTTTTTCCCTACCTCACCTCACCTTGGAGCGAGATTTGAAAATTCCTGTGGCCCTGGATCCTCCTCTCTGTCCCCAGTTCCCAGACTTGAGGGCTTCTGGAGGCCAGGGAACCTGTGCGCTGACAGGTATCTGCTGATCTGCCCAGGGCTCCGAGTCGGAAGAGGAGGAGCTGCCCCCGCCGTCTCTCCGACCCCCCAAGCGGAGAAGGCGGAACCCCTCGGAGTCAGGCTCTGAGCCCTCGTCCTCACTTGATTCGGTTGAAAGTGGGGGTGCTGCCCTTGGAGGACGGGGCTCCCCGTCTTCTCGCCTCCTCCTTGGATCAGGTGAGCCGTCGGCATTTGGAGAAGTCGACGCAGCCTCGAGGAGGCAGTGGCCCGGGGGTGGAGTGGATGGGGAGGCCTGCATCCACCGCAGTAGGAAGAACTGCCCGGCCCTGCCCTGCGCGGCCCTGTGCAGCGCGGCCCGGCCCTGCCCTGCCCTGCCTTTCCCTCCCCTGTCTGGCTTTGCCCTGCCCTCCCCTGCCCGGCCAGGAACTGGGAGGACGAGGGAGAACTGGGCTGAGGAGACTTCTCAGATAGTTCCGTCTGAAGAGTGCAGACGAGAGCAGGGAGACGAGTGAGCCCGCCCTCCTCCCGCGGGACTTAGGGGCATTTTTCTCTATCTCCAGATCACGGCCTTCGGAAAGCCAAGAAACCAAAAAAGAAAACTAAGAAGAGAAGACACAAGTCGGTGCGTAGAGAAGGGCCTTCTGCCCAGGGCCCTGCTGTGCTGAGAGCTCTCCAGCCGCCTCCCGGGGTGTCCTTCACAGGAACTGAGCAGGCGGGCTCTGGACTCTTACAGAACAGTCCTGAGAGCGAGACAGACCCCGAGGAGAAGGCTGGCAAGGAGAGTGATGAGAAAGAACCCGAACAGGACAAGGACAGGGAGCTCCGGCGGGCGGAAGTCCCTAACCGTTCCCCAGGTTTTGGGATCAAGAAGGAGAAGGTGAGAAGTGGGCGCCCAACCCCAGCCCAGTCAGCACCCCCTCCAGGCAGGCCTCCGTGGCCCCCGGGGCAGGCTGTGGGTGAGCTGTGCCTTTGCTCTGCCAGACGGGCTGGGACACGTCAGAGAGCGAGCTGAGCGAGGGCGAGCTGGAAAGGCGGCGGCGGACGCTCCTGCAGCAGCTGGATGACCACCAGTGACCCGACGAGCTGCTCTGCCTCGGGTCTGTGTGGGGCCATGGGGCCTAGGTCACCCTCGCCACCTGCGCTAGACTCCTTTCTCGGTCTGGTCCGTGCCCACCTGTCCTCAAGTAACCCCACCCTGACACACCGCCGCCGGCACCTCCCAAGGTTGCTCGTGGTGTTCAAGGGCCCCCTGCTTCCCAGGCAACTAGTGTAGTCCCTGCCCTCACCCCGGACCGGAGATCGGAGATTGGTATGCCACATGGAGGGGTGGTGCCACTAGGAAAGACGCGAGAAGGGGCCTCGAGGGGAGAACGACAGGCTGGTGACAGGCGGGGTCCTTAGCCTCTAGCGTCAGTGCCTGCTCCTGCCTGCCTGGGGCCTTGGGCCCCACCACTCCTTCTTTCAGCCCCAAGACCCCGTGTATCCGTGTTTTGTTTTGTTTTGGTTTTGTTTTTTAAATAATATTTATAATATGGCCAGTGGCTCTTGTCTTCTCCATCACTGCTGGGGCATGCTGGGGGCCCGGCAGGCGTACGCGTGGCCAGCAGAGAGCACCAGTGTCTTGTGGCAGGCCGGCTTCCCTTTGTGTGCTGGGAGCCCACTAGCAGGGTTCCCCTTCCCCAGGCTTTTGTGCTCACCTCCCCCAAGCAGAGGGCAGCTCCCTGGGGCCTCCTTTCTGTCCCCCTGGCCCAGGTCACGCTAAATGGCCACCCCTGCCCCGAAAGAGGAGACAGAGTCAGGCCTGGTGCTTCAAGCCTTTGTTGAGAGAAGGTCGGTCTGAGATTTATGTACACGAGAGAAGGGAGGCGGTACATGTACAAAAAAGGAGTGGGTCCCTGTATTTCCCCGCAGGGGCTGAGAAGAAACTGGCAGGAGACTGAGAACAGCCAGCCCAGACCACCGTGCCTCCTTGTCCCCTGCCCGAGAAACGCCCAGCTGTGGAAAGAGGAGGATGCTGATGGCACACCCCTTCTCTAGCTGTCAGGGGAAAAACCTCTACCCCTCTGCCCACCCCTCAGGAACAGAGTCAGCCTAGAGTGGAAAGGGCGACGCGCGGGAAGCGTGGAATCTCTCCCCTGCCCGTATCACCAGGGCATGGCCAGGTGGGGTCCAGGCTTCCGTGGGCCTTGCTCCTGGCAAAAGATGATCCGAGACGGGTCACGTCCCGGGGCTCCCTAAGTCTGGACACTTCCAGACCACTGCTGACCATGGGCCTGTGAAAAGGAAGCGGGGGAAGGAAGAAGGGATACTTGCTTCCTCCTCTTGTCCCTCTGGCCTAGTGACAGAGGGGCCTGCGGGCCCCTGTATGGGCTAAAGCTAGAAATGATTTTCCCAGCTCTGAGCTGACCCCTTGGTGACCTTTCAGTCAGGAAATGAATGGAAGGCCCTGAGGCCAAACGAAGTGCAGTGCTGGAGGCACCAGGGAAGTGCCAGGCCCCAGAGACCCAGTGCCCCCAGGGACGTCAGGCACATGCAGCTTTGAGAGCAGCATAGCCCTGCGCTGTGCCTTCGGGGCTCCAGGTCCACAGGTTGGACCTGCAGGACTCGGGAGAGCTGAAGTGCTTCTGCCTTCGGGAGGGCCTTAGTGGGGGCCTGGAGCCCGAGGGGGGCCGGTGGGCGGTGCGGCACTCCTGGCTTGGCGAACGACAATGGGCTGGCGGTGGAGACCTGTGGGGAGGACGGAGGCCTGTGAACACGCAAGGAGGCTGGGCCAGGCCCATGTTGTGTGGGAACAGCCCCCTGGGGAGCAGCCCCTCAGGGCCAGAGAAGAGCCAGCCATGAGGCCGAGGAAGGGGAAGCTTTAAGAGGCTAGAAGGGATGGTGAGGGAGACTGCTGGGGCTCTGCATCTTCAGAGGACCAGGTGGGGGTGACTGGAGGCCCCGGGCAGTGGCAGAAACAAAGCAAAGTTGGCAACAGCCAGAAAGCCAGGGAGAGACCCCAGGTAGACTGAATATCAGGAAACCGGTCAAGGGGCATCTGAGGCCCCTGGGCAGGAGCTACTGCCAGAGCTCCTACCGGTGGGTGTAGGGGTGGTGGTGAGGGGACAAATTGCCCACAGATACCCGGGCCCGGGGATGGAGCCTCAGCAAAGAGGGGGTGGCCTGGTCCTGCCTGCTCTGGAAGCCCCCAACCCTTGGGTCTTAGTAGAAGCCGGGGCAGCATTAGTGGGCGGGCTACCACTTCCCTGAGGGCACATGCAGGGGACAAGCCATGCTGCTCAAGGCATGGGGCATGGGGCATGCGGGTAGAGAAGGCTGTGCCCCCATCACCGTGAGGCTGCCACAGGGTGGTTCCAAGTCATGCAGGGGAGGAGGTCCTGTGGGCCCAGCAGCAGTCCCGGGAGGCGGGCATGCAGAGGGGGCAGCTGTCGTGCCCAGTACCTGTCAAGAGCCCCAGCCTTGGGGGGTTAACAGTTTGACTCATCATGGTGGGCTGCATCGCAGAAGAAGCGTGAGCCCCGCTTGGCAGTACGGGCCGTGAAAGGGACACTCTTCAGCACTGTGGCCCGGGAAAGAGACACAGCGGTCAGGCCTCATGGGGATGGGGTGGGAGGAGGGCCCGAAGGAGTTTGGGAGCTGGGCCTAGGGGCCAGACCCAAGGGAGGGACGAGCGCCCCACCTGTAATGATGTCCTCAATGGTACCATCCTTCCCCTCGTAAACAGGCCGATGCTCCTTGGCCTGGCGCCGCCTCAACTCTGCAATTAGCTCCTGCTGCTGCCACTTGTTCCGCTGGGATGGGGTCTGGGGCCGAGCATTGAAGGGGAAGGGGGTCATCACCAGTCTACTGTGGGGCTGGTTTCTGCCCCAAGATGCAGTCTGAGGATGCCCGTGATCACACACGGCAGCCCGCTCCCATTGCTGCCTGGGACCCCCCTCCCAAAGCCCCTCTCCCCATCCCTCTGGACCAGCCTCGGACCCTCTGGGTGGTCTCTGGGCTCCAGTTTTCCATCTCTCGGGTTCTCTCTCCACCCCCTCCCAATCCTTCGGCCCACTCTCCTCCAGGCCCCAGCCCTTGGTCCCACCCACCTTGGCATCCAGTTTCTTGGCTTCCTGAGCCAGCTGCTTCTCCCGCATTACCTCCTCCTGCTTCTTTCTAGCTTCATTCTCTTGTTCTGCTTCCTAAGAACCGTGGGGGGGTTGGGGGGTGAGGCTCACACAGGCTGAGGGGAGGGGCTGACACTGAGGGTGGAGAATGGGTGGCAGTGGGACCAGCAACCCCAGGTGGCCACCCTGGAGGGGCACTTCCTGCCCTGAACAATGACAGGAAGGGCCTGGGCCCCCACCCTGCCCACCCGCTCACAGCTGAGAGGCCTGTGGCCAGCTTCCATTGCTCCCTCCCAGGACTCCGAGGAGGAGACAGAGAAGGCCCAGCCTTGGAGCCCAGCCCTCCCTCCCCTACCAGATTTCTCTGAGCCAAACTTCTTTTTCAGAGCCTGGCTTCCGCTCACCTTGTACGAACGAATGAATCGGACAAATACTGGGAAGAATACAGAAGGGGGTGTGGTCTTGGGACTCTCGCCAAAGTAGCGCACGACGGCGTTATAGGCCTCCTGGGGAAGCGGCGGGCAGAGGGGTCAGTCTGGCCCCCCAGCAGGGACAGGGGGTCCACAGAAAACAGCGCGTAGGGCCAAAGCCCCTGTGGGCCTCCCAAAGCTCCTTCGAGTCTGTCCGCAGAGGCAGCTGCCTGCCACCCCCAGTGCCCCGTCTCCCCCACATGCAGCCAGCCAACCATGTGGTAAAAGTTCTTTGGTCCAGGGGCGCCTGGGTGGCGCACTTGGTGAGGCGTCTGACTCTTGGTTTTGGCTCAAGTCATGAGATCAAGCCCTGAGTCGGGCTCCACTTAAGACTCCCTCTCCCCCCTCTCCCCCCGTCCCTCCCCCATGCACGTGCTCACTTTCTCAAATAAATAAATCTTAAAAAATTCTAAAAAATTCTTTGGTCTAAGAGCCAGAACAAAGCCCATGTAGAGGGGCCCGGTGCCTTGGCCCTGGCTGTCCCCACCCGCCTCCACCCTGTGCCCACCTCAGCTGTCTTGGCATCACGCTGGAGCTTGTCCAGTTTGCCTTCGTTGGTGCTGAGGAAGTTCCGGAGGACAGTGTTGTCGTGTATGCTGCATTCCCGCCGAATCAGCTCCATGCCCCGGCCCAGCTCCTTCACATCTAGCAGCACGTTCTCCAGGGACACTGTGGTCACCAGAGCCTGGGCTGAGGCCTGCTCGGGGGCGACGTGCCCCCCTCCCAGCCCAGGGCTACGTAGACCTCTGGCCCTCCCCCGAGCAAGGGCTCACTCAGGTTCTCAGGCCCCTGCTTCCGGGGCCACCCGGTGGACACAGAAGGACACACCTGGCTAACGAGGCTCCCGCGGAGGTAAGGAAAAGGAGCGGGGCTCTGAGCTCCGACCCCAGAGAGCACAGGAGCACAGGCAGGCAAGCCAGGGAGACGCGGCTCTCCAGAGCGGAGCTGCCTCAGGCCTGCGCCAGTTTTCATGACTGGGGCAGAAATGTCCGCTGCCTTCCGTCCGTGGGCCCTCAGGTCTCTTCCTAAGCCCTTCGCATGCATCACAGAGAGTCTCCAGGGCCAGCCCGAGGGAGCTGGGAGTGCAGAGCCACTGCTGCCTTCTGCCCGCACCCAGGGTACCCGGGTGGGAAAGGCAGGCCAGGCGGGTGCCTCTAGGAAGGCTCCCTCTGGGGTGGCCTCTACCCACGGCCCCAGCGGAAAGCTGTGAAATAGCCAGAAAGGAGATAAGCCAGAAACGAAGGGACCCAAGTGTTCTCTCTCCTAAGCTTCCTGGGATGTCCTGGGCCAGACATGAGGGCAGGCTGGCGGGGCCGGCTCCCCTCACCTGCCGCGGCCTTCTCCACAAAGTGGAGCTCGTGCCAGAAGTTGGCCAGGTCCGGGTATTTCTCCTTCACCGTCAAGGCGATGAAGTGCAGCAGCGTCATCTTCCTGTCAGTGGACTTGGTGTCCAGCAGCTGGGAAGGGGGGCAGGGGGTGGTGAGAGAGGGCCGAACACCGCGGCTGCTCAGGCTTCCGGACCCCGGGTTGCCCCCACCGTCTCACCAGATCCAGGCTCTGGAGCTTGAAGCCGTACACAGCTCCTCGCTTGCTGCTGTTCATATAGTTCCCCAGTGCAAGTATGATCTGTCCGGAAGACGCACGGGAGGAGGTCAGGCTGGGCCCACGGGCCCCTTCCCCCACCCAGGCCCAGGACCCCGGGCGCCCGCACCCGCAACCTCTCCCCACCTCCAACATCTGCTTCAGCTTCTGTGAGGACTTGACAGAGGCAGAGGCTGCGATGATGGCGTTGAGTTGCTGGAAGGCAAGACGAAGAGCTGCGTAAGCCGAGGCCGGAATGGGGCGAGGCCAGCCTGATGGGGCAGGGGAGAGGACGGGGGCGGGGGTAGCCGTGGACGACCCGGATTCGGGCGGAGGCCGTACCGGCGTGAGCATCTGCAGGTTGTCCTGGAAGTTGCCCAGGAA